GGAGGTGTTGCCATGAAAACAAATACTGGACAGAAATATTACTATTACTGGCGTGGACACACTGACAAAAAGATCTTAGGATTCATTAAACTTAAAATAACAAAATAAGGATAATCAGTGCCGTTTACATGGCCTCAGTGGTCCTTTAAACCAATGAAACGAAAACATATTAAATGTATATTTCCCCTTTTGCAAATTACGTGCGTCATATCAATTTCATTTTTACCTTCTTTGTTTTTAAAGCCAAAATGCATCCAATCATCTGACTTGAAATGTGATGGAACCACGGGGCGAATTTTAATAGTGTCCTCCAGGTTTTATTTCATATGACTCGTCGCAGTATCCCACGGCCGGACATCCTTGTGACACAAGGCAGCGGGCATCAACACATCCACAGCGACATCTGCTGGACTGGAAGTTGTATTCCACTTAGTTTGGCTGATGTGCGCCAACCATTAAGGTATTTTATTTGTTCATCTTTTTTTTTTTTTTTTATAATCGATTCTTGCTTTCTAGAATCGATGCAGTAGATCACATAAATTAGAATCGCGATGCATCGTCATGACGATTATTTTGCACACCCTTAGTCTCTGTATAATTTAATTTATATCTACATTTATTTGTTTATTGTATTTTTGGGGGCAATTAATTGTATGCTTATTTATTTATTAAGCATTTATTTATTTTTGTATTTATTTTTAAATATGGTAGAGCTAGTCTTCCATATTAAAGTAGGATCAAAACTATTCGCCTTTTTTTATAGCCAAAGTTTTGAGTTTTAGCCATTAGCTCCTTCCCATAGACCCCTACCAGCTTAGCTTCCCCTTCCGAAGAACCGCATCCCCGCAGTATGACCCTGCCACCAACATGGTACAGCCTATAGGGATTTCTTTACCCCACTTTTATTCTTCTTGTGAGGGAATTTGTGCCACAACCAAAACATCATTAGGAATGTTGGTTCCTGGGTAAGACCCTTAACCCCACAATGCTCCCCACGTGCTGCAAGCGGGTCACCACCCTATCAGCATGAACAAAAACATAAATAGTTTGGGTATTTTTATTATTTTTTAAAGATTGCTAAAATTGGACATTGTACAATTAAACTGGGTTTTAAAGAGCTTTGTAAAAGCACTCATAGTCCTAGAACCTGAGTTTAGGTTATTAAATGTCCTTTATTTTGAACAAAATTTTGAACTGCAATATTTTCACTGGGAAGGAAAATGTTTAATTTTTCTTTCTTCTTCTAAATCCTGCCATAAGTTGTAAGAATCAGATTTTGGCTGCAGGTCTTTCTAGTCCATTCCTGCCAGCATGGAAAGCATAGTTCAGTTTCTACTGCTGAAAGTTAGGTTCTAAAGTGTTTTGAACCTGCATCTAAAGTCAGTTGTGTCCACAAGTACAACCTGAGAAAGGGTTCTTTCCATAAACTGACATGGGATGACATTTTAACGGTTAGGTATCAGGTGTCTGTCACCGTAGCAACTTAAACGCCGGCTGGGTGTCAGTCGCTGCGATCAGATGACAGAGCTGAGGACGGCTGCTTATTTAATCTGGGGCACTTTAATCGGGCTAATCACACTCAGACATACAGACTGACACACACAGCTAATCTGAGCTAATCCAGGACACCAACTGGCCTCTTTCCAAATCAGTTTGTGTTTTGTTCTGTTCTCGCCTCATCGGTCCTGGTTGAACCGCCCTATCTGCCAGGCTGCCGCAGTGACTCCTACACGCTTTGCTATGAATCACGTTTCGATGTGAGTGTGAGGCGTGTTGAGGCCTGCATGGCTTCATTCATTCAGTTCAGAGCAGCTTTCAACATGGTAGCAGCTGATGTGTTTGTGTGGAAAATTCTAGATCACCAAGAGTTTACTCACATTTTAACTTAAAGAATTCTGGAAGATTCTGTAAGATAAAAATGGCTGGAAAAACATGGAAGAACATGGAATATAATTAAACTTTAACAGGGCTACATAAGAACATTTCATCCATCCATCCATCCATACTTTGTCCATCCATCCATCCATCCATCCATCCATCCATCCATCCATCCATCCATCCATCCATCCATCCATCCATCCATTATTTGTCCGTCCATCTGTCCTTCCATCCATCCATCCTTTCACTCATCCATCCATCCATCCATCCATCATTTATCCATCTGTCTTTCTGTCCATCTATCCATCCACTCATCCATCCATCCATCTCTTTGTCTGTCTGTCCATCCATCCTTCCATCCTTCTGTCTGTCTTTTCATCCATCCATCCATCCATCCATCCATCCATCCATCCATCCATTATTTGTCCGTCCATCTGTCCTTCCATCCATCCATCCTTTCACTCATCCATCCATCCATCCATCCATCATTTATCCATCTGTCTTTCTGTCCATCTATCCATCCACTCATCCATCCATCCATCTCTTTGTCTGTCTGTCCATCCATCCTTCCGTCCTTCTGTCTGTCTTTTCATCCATCCATCCATCCATCCATCCATCCATCC